GATGACTAAGTGACATCATCAGTCTGAGACATGGGACATGGTTAAGTGCCATCATCAACCTACGACATTGGTGGACCACATAAAGGAAGTGACACAGGCATAAAGGAAGTGACACCAACATAAAGGAAGTGACACAATTGTACAGTAAGTGGCTTAGGTGACTTGAGTACGTGTCCGATCAAGAGCTCAGTTCCCTTTTTAAGTTCAGTCCCTCCCTCCGTCCGTCCGTCCGTCCCTCCCTCCCTCCCTCCCTCCCTCCCTCCCTCCCTCCCTCCCTCTACTATTCAGAACGAAGAATTTGACAGAGCTAATCTTAATATTATCACAGCAATACCACCATACAACAAACTCTTAATATTATCACAGCAATACCACCATACATCAAACTCTTAATATTATCACAGCAATACCACCATACACCAAACTCTTAATATTGTACCCCACTACTTCTCCCCAGCTAGAACACTACTTCTCCCCAGCTAGAACACTACTTCTCCCCAGCTAGAACACTACTTCTCCCCAGCTAGAACACTACTTCTCCCCAGCTAGTGCACTACTTCTCCCCAGCTAGAACACTACTTCTCCCCAGCTAGAACACTACTTCTCCCCAGCTAGAACACTACTTCTCCCCAGCTAGAACACTACTTCTCCCCAGCTAGTGCACTACTTCTCCCCAGCTAGTGCACTACTTCTCCCCAGCTAGAACACTACTTCTCCCCAGCTAGAACACTACTTCTCCCCAGCTAGAACACTACTTCTCCCTAGCTAGTGCACTACTTCTCCCCAGCTAGAACACTACTTCTCCCCAGCTAGTGCACTACTTCTCCCCAGCTAGTGCACTAGCTCTGACCAAAGCCACCTGGACTGGACCAGTTTGGGAAGCACTGTTCTAAGGGCACCTGGATGAAAGGTCACACGAACAATTTCACAAGCTGGACAACAAAGATTCAGACATTACTGTTTTCTCCTTATCCTACAAGCAACGGAACTCTTCAGTAATTCCTGGGTGTTCCCCTGTGGATGAAACTGTTCTACTGCCTCCTGGTGTCAGGAGGACTAAATAACAGACACACAGACCATAACAACAGACACACAGACCATAACAACAGACACACAGACCATAACAACAGATGCACTGACCATAACAACAGACACACAGACCATAACAACAGACACGCAGACCATAACAACAGACACACAGACCATAACAACAGACACACAGACCATAACAACAGATGCACTGACCCTCCTGTATAGAGACATCATAACTAACAACAGACCTCCTGCTGTATAGAGACATCATAACTAACAACAGACCTCCTGTATAGAGACATCATAACTAACAACAGACCTCCTGCTGTATAGAGACATCATAACTAACAACAGACCTCCTGCTGTACAGAGACATCATAACTAACAACAGACCTCCTGCTGTATAGAGACATCATAACTAACAACAGACCTCCTGCTGTATAGAGACATCATAACTAACAACAGACCTCCTGCTGTATAGAGACTTCATAACTAACAACAGACCTCCTGCTGTAATAGAGACATCATAACTAACAACAGACCTCCTGCTGTATGGAGACATCATTACTAACAACAGACCTCCTGCTGTATAGAGACATCATAACTAACAACAGACCTCCTGCTGTAATAGAGACATCATAACTAACAACAGACCTCCTGCTGTATGGAGACATCATTACTAACAACAGACCTCCTGCTGAATAGAGACATCATAACTAACAACAGACACACACCCTGCTTTACCTAACTAACAGGCTAATGTACCATTGTAGAGACACTGTTGAACTGTGGACATTACCTGTGTAAAGTCACCCCAGACATGTTGATGATTAACTAGTACAGGGGTAGGTAACCCTGTTGCCGGAGTGCTGCAAGTGCTTCAGGTTTTTTGTTTTTGCTTTTTTTATTAGGCCCAGGAGATGAGGTAGGTGGAATTTAGCCAATCACTGATAGTGATCAATTAGCTCAGTAGGTGAGGTGATTGGTAGAGGTTGAAACTAAACCCTGCAATACCTGTTCACTCCAGGACCAGGGTTACCAGGCCCTGAACCAACAGAACGTGTTCTTATATAATGACATTATACAGTATGTAGATAGTCTGTAGATACAGAATCAACAATAGAAATATAGTTTGGAAAATGTGAATAGTTACTAGAACTGTATAATACACCGCTACGTGTGTTGATATCTCCTTATGTTAAAACCTAGTTCATAACCATGTGTAAATCTAAAAAGATTGGGGTATTTTTTGTCTCATACGACTGGGTTATTTATTCCAAACATCGTTTAGCCAGGCAAATAATTGTCATAAACTGTTTGAACACATTTTGATTAGGTTACTGTGATACTCTGTAGCTCAGCTGGTAGAGCACGGCAAGCTAATAGAATGAACACAGACAAATGATAAAGTGGGTTGATCCCCCCCGGGACGCACCCATACACAAAAATTGTATGCACGCATGACTGTAAGTCGCTTTGGATAAAAGCGTCTGATAAATGGCATATTATATTATTATTATACTCTCATGTATTCCCAGAATAGAGGGGGAAGGATAGATAGAAGGAGGAGGTGGACGGAAAGAGTAGAAGGCTGATGGCGTACAGATAGCAAGGCGGGAGTGGGAAGCTACAGATAGAAGTGGAGGAGGGGGAAGGAAAGAGAGAAGGAGGGTGGGGGGAAGGAAGATCTAGATGACTTATAGAGGAGGTGGGAGGAAAGATAGAATGAGGAGGGTACAGAGAACTTCTTTTTGTCCCGCGCCTTCTTTCTTTTGCCTTCCCTCCTCCTCTTTTCCTGCCCTTCCTTCTTTTTTTCTTCTCTCTCCTGCGTTGGTTTTCCTTCCGCTAGAATGAGGGATGGAGGGAAAGAGAAAGGAGGGAGGGAGAAGGAGAGGATGGAGGGAGGGAGAAGGAAAGTTAGAAGCGGGGGGGGGATGAAATGCAGAGGATGTGAAGGGGCAGAGAGGAGAGGAGCACTAAGAGAGAGAGGGGATAAGAGAGAGTGGGGATATAGGAGAGGGAAAAGAGATAGAGGGGATAGAGATAGAGAGAGAGGGAAAGAGAGAGAAGGTGAGAGAGAGGGAAAGAGAGAGGGGTATAGAGGGAGAGGGAAAGAGAGAGAGAAATAGAGAGAGGGATAGAGATAGAGAGAGAGGGAAAGAGAGAGGGAAAGAAAGAGAGGGAGGTGAGTCTGACAGCCATTGCATACTGTTTATTTGGCAGTCCGTACCTGAAAAACAGCAGAAGACGAGAGACAGAGGAGGGGACAGAACACAGAGCGCATACTTTGGTTGACCTTACTTGTAGTGATTGGGGAAATGTGGGTTTCTTTGAAGAGTAGGTAATAAGAAATGTGGTAATGGTAAAAGAAAAGACTGTGATTACAAAGGAATTGAGAAGACCTCACTTTTCCATCTCTGTAATCAGTTTAGCTAAGTTTGCTTCACTGATCCTGGCATCCTCCTCTGCTCCTGATCCTGGCATCCTCCTCTGCTCCTGATCTTGGCAACATCCTCTGCTACTGATCCTGGCAACCACCTTGGCTACTGATCCTGGCAACCACCTTGGCTACTGATCCTGGCAACCACCTTGGCTACTGATCCTGGCAACCACCTTGGCTACTGATCCTGGCAACCACCTTGGCTACTGATCCTGGCATCCACCTCGGCTCCAGATCCTGGCATCAACCTTGGCTACTGATCCTGGCATCCAACTCGGCTACTGATCCTGGCATCCAACTCGGCTACTGATCCTGGCAACCACCTTGGCTACTGATCCTGGCATCACTGGGGTTTGAGCGTGATGACCCAAGTAAAGCCTGGGGTTTGATCCCAGGCTGTGTCACAACCGACCGGGAGTCCCATAGGGCGGCGCAAAATTGGCACAGCATTGTCCGGGTTAGGGGAGGGTTTGGCCAGGGGGGGCTTTACATGGGTCATCACGCTCTAGCGACTCCTTGTGGTGGGCCGGGTGCCTGCAGGCTGACTTCGGTCGTCAGTTGAACGGGGTTTCCTCTGACACATTGGTGCGGCTGGCTTCCGAGTTAAGAGAGCGGCTGTTAAGAAGTGCGGCTTGGTGGGTCATGTTTCAGAGGACGCATGACTCGACCTTTGCCTCTCCCGAGCCCGTTGGGGAGTTGCAGCGATGAGACAAGATCGTAATCACGAAATTGGGGAGAAAAAGGGGGGTAAAAAATCAAATACAAATGCATTGTTGGTTAAGGGTTTGTAAGCATTTCACTGTAAGGTCTACACCTGCTATATTCTGCACATGTCTAATGTCGTCTCCAGGCTCAATCGCTATCACATATAGACAGGTTGACAGAGAGACACAGCTGGGGGGTGGATGACATTATCCCATACCTATATGTTGTCCCAAGGACATCATACCTATGTGTCCAAGGAACATCAACCTGGTATTGGGTAGCCCAGGGTTTCCCAAACTTGGTCCTGGGGCCCCCTCTGGGTGCACGTTTTGGTTTTTACCCTAGCACTACACAGCTGATTCAAATATTAGGTATTAGGGAGAGGTTGAAAATGTCAGTTACTTGCCAGTTGATCAGCGCATGCTCTGAGTACAGGTCCTGGTAATCCTTCTGGCTCTGCGGCCTTGTACATGTTGAACTGTTTAAAGGTTTACTCACATCGGCTACGGAGAGCGTGATCACACAGTCGTCCGGAACAGCTGGTGCTCTCATTGCTTCAGTGTTGCTTGCCTCGAAGCGCGCATAGAAGTGATTTAGCTCGTCTGGTAGGCTCCTGTCACCGGGCAGCTCGCGGCTGGGCTTCCCTTTGTAGTCCTTTACAGTTTGCAAGCCCTACCACATCCGACGAGCATCAGAGCCGGTGTAGTATGATTCAATCTTAGCCCTGTATTGACTATTTGCCTGTTTGATGGATTCATTGGAGGGCATAGATGGATTTCTCATAAGCGTCCGGGTAAGAGTCCCGCTCCTTGAAAGCGGCAGCTCTACTCTTTAGCTCAGTACGGATGTTGCCTGTAATCCATGGCTTCTGGTTGGGGTATGTACGTATGGTCACTGTGGGGCTGACGTCATCGATGCACTTATTGATGAAGCCGGTGACTGATGTGATGTACTCCTCAATGCCATTGGATGAATCCCGGAACATATTCCAGTCTGTGCTAGCAAAACAGTCCTGTAGCTTAGCATCTGCGTCATCTGACCACTTCCGTATTGAGCGAGTCACTGGTACCTCCTACTTTAGTTTTCGCTTGTAAGCAGGAATCAGGAGGATAGAATTGTGGTCAGAATTGCCAAATGGAGGGCGAGGGAGAGCTTTGTACGCGTCTCTGTGTGTGGAATAAAGGTGATACACTGTATTAGCTCACGCTTCACCTCCCCATTCACTGAACCTTCTTTCAGCCAGGACAATGGCAACAATAGACGAAACAAGATATACACAAAGCAAACGTTCAACTTCAAGTCAGCTATTGAGTTCATCTGCATATCTCTCACAAGGCAGAAGCATAGACTTATAGTTAGGTAAAAGTCACCAGACAGACGTCCACTGATGAGGACAATGATGTATATGAACACATCATTGGATTAGGAGGAGCAGCCCATAGGTGCTGGAAAACGGCTTCATCTCCTGTGATTCTTTATAGGTTGTTACCATCCTGCTGCTCTAATAGTACCCTTTATGAAATCCCTTATCTAAAGTTCCAATCATAGTTACTCTCTAACAGGAGGGGAAATATGCCCCTGGTGGTCAAATCCAGTGTCAGGTAAATATATATATATTTTTTTAAAATTCTTAGTCATTTAGCAGACGCTCTTATCCAGAGCGACTTACAGTTAGTGAGTGCATACATTTTCATACTGGCCCCCCTGGCCATATACATATGTGTTTAGAGAGGCCTGCACACATGTTTTTACAAAGTGGCACAGAATGATCTCTGTAACAGGCAGAGGATATTATTCTTACATAGATGCGTTATTAGGAGTTTCACTTTAAGGTCTGATACAGCACACGTCACCATTTATGACGTGTGCTGTATGAGGCCTATTTGCATGCACAATTCAACATTAAACTTGAAAGTTGAAAAAGAGGCTTCTTAAAAAATAAAAGTATTTATTTTTTTCTTCGACGTCAAAGTTAACTGAATACATTTTAATGACTACAAGACCCAAGATCCGGAAGTATATTAAAGAAGGACTCTGACGTCACGCTCCAGGAAATCGCAGTATGTACACAATGGACCCTCGAGGAAGTTAGTAATAGACTATTGTAACCGAAAATATTTATTGAACGACAACTTAAGTTGATGTAAAGTTAGCTTGTTGTTTAGCATTTACATTTAACTAAACGAATAGGCGTGTTTTGTGTTTGTTTTCTCCTAAATACTGACCACTAGCTAGCGTAGCTTTAGCTATCTAACGTTAGTAGCTAGCCAGATGATTCGCTTCCATCTGACCAATTTATTTCAATATAGAACAGCTCACTGTCTTTTAAATAGAGCTAGCTAACGATGTTCTCGGTTAGACTAACAAACCAGCTAGAATTGCAAACTAAGTCAGCCGGTCCCCGCATATTTAGCTAGCTAGTTAGGTAGCGTGCGTAACGTTAGCCTATGTGTGTGAGACTGATGACACTGATAGTTGTGTTTTTGTCCGTTGGAGGAAGAGGAAGATGACAGAGTAGGGAAATGACAAGCTGACGGAGCCTACACAGACCAGAGAGGGAACTGCGACTGACTGACAGCGAGGCAGACAAAGAAGAAGAATGCCGAGGAGAAAACAGTCGAACCCACAGCCCGTCAAATGTAAGTACAGTTTTATAGCCTTACTAGCTACTATAGTCATGCTATTGACTGGGTGGTGAAGGAGTTATCTCAAAACTAACTAGCTGGTTGTCCTTGAGTTTCCACATATTTCAATGTCTGAGATGTTTTGCTACTTGTACCTTCTAGGGGAGTGACCCCTAGCTCATGGTGGTTACTAGATCAACTGTAATCCATATTTGTACTGATTTGAATGAAGTCTTGGGTTTGGGTATATCCAACTTTGATACAGGATTAGATCATTTAGTTACATAGTTGATATGTACTTCAGCTGTTAAACCTCTGTCAGCTTCCAGAACTGTAATCTCTCCCTCTCTCTCTCACTGTCTCTCTCTCTGTCTCTCTCTCTCTCTGTGTCTCTCTCTCTCTCTCTCTCTCTCTCTCTCTCTGAGTTATCTCTCTCTCTCTCTCTCTCTCTCTTCTCTCTCTCTCTGAGTTCTCTCTCTCTCTCTCTCCCTCCCTCTCTCTGAGTTCTCTCTCTCTCTCCCTCTCTCTGAGTTCTCTCTCCCTCTCTCTCTCTCTGTCTCTCTAGCTCTTGCTGTCTCTCTGTCTCTCTCTCTCTCTGAGTTCTCTCTCTCTGAGTTCTCTCTCTCTCCCTCTCTCTCCCTCTCTCCTCTCTCTCTCTGTCTCTCTGTCTCTCTCTGTCTCTGTCTCTCTCTCTCTCATCCTGTGTGTGTGTTATCTCATCCTGAGTGTTGTCTCAGCTGGACTTCCTCTTCTCTGCTTCCTGTCTCCACTTCCCCTGCCTGACCTCCCCCTCTCCTCCCTCCCTCTCTCCCCTACCTTTCCTCTTCAATCACCCCACAATGCTGTATTAGTGTGAGGAGAGAGGTTATTGTGTTTTGCAGTAGACAGTGTAGTGTAGTGTAATGATGGTGTGTAGTGTAGTGTAGTGATGGTGTGTGTGTGTAGTGTAGTGATGGTGTGTAGTGTAGTGTAGTGATGGTGTGTAGTGTAGTGTAGTGATGGTGTGTAGTGTAGTGTAGTGATGGTGTGTGTGTAGTGTATTGATGGTGTGTGTGTGTAGGATGTATGTGTGTGTGTAGTGTAATGATGGTGTGTGTGTAGTGTAATGATGGTGTGTGTGTAGTGTAATGATGGTGTGTGTGTGTAGTGTAGTGATGGCGTGTGTGTAATGATGGTGTGTGTGTAGTGTAATGATGGTGTGTGTGTAGTGTAGTGATGGTGTGTGTAGTGTAGTGATGGTGTGTGTGTAATGATGGAGTGTGTGTAATGATGGAGTGTGTGTAGTGTAATGATGGTGTGTGTGTGTGTGTGTGTGTGTGTGTGTGTGTGTGTGTAATATAGTAGATGGTGTGGAGTGTGATCCAGGATGCCTGGTTCTGGACAGTGACTTCCTGCTTAGTGGAGAGCTCTGTGAGTTTGGAGACACAGAGATCATGGGACTGGACAGAGACACAGGTCAGACACACACATTGACACACATACACATTACACAAACACACTGACCAACCGGATCTCATAGTTACATTCTATTTTGTGACGCATTAATTCTGCGTGGTAACAGGGTTAATTCTGCGTGGTAACAGGGTTAATTCTGTGTGGTAACAGGGTTAATTCTGCGTGGTAACAGGGTTAACTCTGCGTGGTAACAGGGTTAATTCTGCGTAGTAACAGGGTTAATTCTGCGTAGTAACAGGGTTAATTCTGCGTGGTAACAGGGTTAATTCTGCGTGGTTACAGGGTTAAAACAGAAACAACTCAAAGCTTTAAGTTTAAGGTATTAATTACGAGGGTTTAACCCCCTAGAGTCTATGTCCATGCCCCCGTGGAAATGTAATTAGCATAATACATAAATCCCCATAAAGATCCATCAGTTTAAGCTAGAGATATCCGTTATTTTGCATTGGATGCATCTCAATCCCCCGCATCCGCCGATGTCGCACTTCTGCATCTGTTGTGAAAGGTGACAGAGCTAGAGCGGTGTTTGTCAGACCACGAGACATCCAGAAAATCATTCTTCTCACAAAATCGCCTGTAGCTTCCGAACGGTTTGGCCTGCGTTACTATTATGAAAAGATGAGACTGTCACGAACACCATGGTGGTCTCCGTTTTGCTCTACGACCCCCACAAGCGTCTTGGGACTCGTCTGAAGTCGGTACAGCCGATCTGCCAACTTCTGTCTGTAGCGTCCAAACAGTTTGGGGTTACACACTGAGAGACTCTCACGAACATGTACATTTTTTTTTTTTATTCAAGGGGTCTTAAAATTCAAAATCAAATAGCTAAATTATCCTTGGTATGTCCTTCTTAAAACAACTCCATGTAGCTTAAAGTAACCCTCCGGCTCAGACAAGGCTAAGTCTATAGAGGGTTAAGGTTAGGGCTATGGGTTGGGGAATGCACTGTTTCCGTCAAGTATTATCTAGAGCATTGTGAACTGCAGTGGTCAGAGCAGCATGCTTTGGGCCAATGCCAACGTTCAAAACAACTGGGAACTCTGAAAAATACGAGGTCAAATCATGACGTCAGTGATCTTCAGGTTGGAAAGTCAGAGCTCTAAAAAGAGTCCAGAGTTCCCGAGTTGAATTCTGAGTTCATACCAATTTTTCCCAGTCGGAGTTAATTTTTTTTCAGAGTTCCCAGTTGTTTTGAACGCACTGAAGTCGGGAAGTCAGAGATTTCTCAGTTCCCAGTTGTTTTGAACACGGCATAAGCAGCGCTCTTTGCCTCCGAGCATCATGAGTTCACGCCAGTTCTCTGCAATAGTTTTCAATATTATAAAAATATATATATCTGGGCCGAGGAAGGCATATATCGATGTCCTCAGGACCTTTTCAAATGTCAGAAATCGAAAGCTATTTCTAGTGACCAGGCTGACACTGACAAGTACACATACACACACTTACAGTGTATTCGGAAAGTATTCAGACCCCTTGACTTTTTCCACATTTTGTTACATTACAGCCTTATTCTAAAATTTATTAAATAGTCCCCCCCCCACACTCCCTCATCAATCTACGCACAATACCCCATAATGATGAAGCAAAAACAGGTTATTAGAAATTTTTGCAAATGTACACTACCGTTCAAAAGTTTGGGGTCACTTAGAAATGTCCTTGTTTTCGAAAGAAAAGCATTGTTTTTGTCCATTAAAATAACATCAAATTGATCAGAAATACAGTGTAGACATTGTTAATGTTGTAAATGGCTATTGTAGCTGGACATTTTAATGAAGCTGTCAGTTGAGGACCTGTGAGGCGCCTGTTTCTCAAACTAGACACTCTAATGTATTTGTCCTCTTGCTCAGTTGTGCACGTGGGCGTCCCACTCCTCTTTCTATTCTGGTTACATTTTTACATTTTACATTTTAGTCATTTAGCAGACGCTCTTATCCAGAGCGACTTACAGTTAGTGAGTGCATACATTTTTATTTTATTTTCCATACTGGCCCCCCGTGGGAATCGAACCCACAACCCTGGCGTTGCAAGCGCCATGCTCTACCAACTGAGCTGCACAGGACTAGAGCCAGTGTGTGCTGTTCTGTGAAGGGAGTAGTACACAGCGTTGTACGAGATCTTCAGTTTCTTGGCAATTTCTCGCATAGAATAGCCTTCATTTCTCAGAACAAAGAATAGACTGACGAGTTTCTGAAGAAAGTTATTTGTTTCTGGCCATTTTGAGCCTGTAATCGAACCTTCAATTGATGATGCTCCAGAAAGTCTCAAGAAGGCCAGTTTTATTGCTTCTTTAATCAGCACAACAGTTTTCAGCTGTGCTAACATAATTGTAAAAGGGTTTTCTAATGATCAATTAGCCTTTTAAAATGATAAACTTGGATTAGCAAACACAACGTGCCATTGGAACACAGGACTGATGGTTGCTGATAATGGGCCTCTGTACGCCTATGTAGATATTCCATAAAAAATCAGCCGTTTCCAGCTACAATAGCCATTTACAACATTAACAATGTCTACACTGTATTTCGGATCAATTTGATGTTATTTTAATGGACAACAAAATTGCTTTTCTTTCAAAAACAAGGACATTTGTAAGTGACCCCAAACTTTTGAACGGTAGTGTAATAAAAAAAACCCCGGAAATATTACATTTACATAAGTATTCAGACCCTTTACTACAAGCTTGGCACACCTGTATTTGGGGAGTTTCTCTCATTCTTCTCTGCAGATCCTCTCAAGCTCTGTCAGGTTGGATGGGGAGGTCTCCCCATAGATGTTCGATCGGGTTCAAGTCCGGGCTCTGGCTGGGCCACTCAAGGACATTCAGAGACTTGTCCCGAAGCCACTCCTGCATTGTCTTGGCTGTGTGCTTAGGGTCATTGTCCTGTTGGAAGGTGAACCTTCACCGCAGTCTGAAGTCCTGAGCACTCTGGAGCAGGTTTTCATCAAGGATCTCTTTGTACTTTGCGCCGTTCATCTTTCCCTCGATCCTGACTAGTCTCCCGGTCCCTGCCGCTGAAAAACATCCATGCTTCACCGTAGGGATGGTATTGGCCAGGTGATGAGCGGTGCCTGGTTTCCTCCAGGCGTGACGCTTGACATTCAGGCCAAAGAGTTCAATCTTGGTTTCATCAGACCAGAGAATCTTGTTTCTCATGGTCTGAGAGTCTTTAGGTGCCTTTTGGCAAACTCCAAGCGGGCTGTCATGTGCATTTTACTGAGGAGTGGCTTCCATCTGGCCACTCTACCATAAAAGCCTGATTGGTGGAGTGCTGCAGAGATGGTCGTCCTTCTGGAAGGTTCTCCCATCTCCACAGAGGAACTCTAGAGCTCTGTCAGAGTGACCATCGGGTTCTCTGTCACCTCCTTGACCAAGGCCCTTCTCCCCCGATTGCTCAGTTTGGCCGGGTGGCCAGCTCTAGGAAGAGTCTTGGTGGTTCCAAACGTCTTCCATTTAAGAATGATGAAGGCCACTGTGTTCTTGGGGACCGTCAATGCTGAATAAATGTTTTGGTACCCTTCCCCAGATCTGTGCCTCGACACAATCCTGTCTCGGAGCTCTACGGACAATTCCTTCGACCTCATGGCTTGGTTTTTGCTCTGACATGCACTGTCAACTGTGGGACCTTATATAGACAGATTTGTGCCTTTCCATGTCCAATCAATTGAATTGACCACAGGTGGACTCCAAATTGTGGAAACATCACAAGGATGAGCAATGGAAACAGAATGCACCTTAGCTCAATTTCTAGTCTCATAGCACAGGGTCTGAATACTTATGTAAATAAGGTATTTCTGTATTTGATTTATTTATACATTTGCAAAAATGTCTAACAACCTGTTTTTGCTTTGTCATTATGGGGTATTGTGTGTAAATTGATGAGGAATTGTTTTTATTTAATCCATTTTAGAATAAGGCTTTAACGGAACAAAATGTGGAAAAAGTGAAGGGGTCTGAATACTTTCCGAATGCACTGTACATGGTTTTACGAGTCCTTGACTAAATGCTGTTGTATGCTGCTCTCTCTCTCTCTCTCTCTCTCTCTCGCTCCCACTCTCTCTTCCTTTATCTCTCTCCTGCTCTCCCTCCCTCCCCTGCTCTCTTCCGCTCTCCCTCTCTCTCTCTCCCTCTCTCTCTCTCTCTCGGTCTCTCTCTCCTTCCCTCTCTCTCTCACCTCTCCCTCCCTCTCTCTACCAGGTATGACAGTGTTCTCTCTAAGTGATGACGGCTCCACCCTTCCAGGTCCGGGTGACTCCGCCTTCCCAGTGTTCCTCTCCTGTAAGGGGTGTGGCCAATTGATGGGGGCCGACCTTGACCTAGGAGCGGGACTAGACTTGGGGGCGGGACTCTACTGCCTGAGCTGTGAAGAGGGCCTCCAATCAGAATCACACACAGCCATGGAGGATACCTCACAGGAGGAGGAGTCAACCCCGGCTGTCCAATCCTGTGGGAGGAAGGACAGGAAGAGGAAGAGGAGAAGGGCGGGTGATGAAGAAGCCTGTATGAAGCTGTACACGTGCTCTCTGTGTAGTTTCTCCTCTCGCTACTCCAACCATCTAAAACGCCACATGAGGACCCATGATGGAGAGAAGCCCTACCACTGTCCCCACTGCCCCTACGCCTCTACACAGAGGGTAAACCTGCAGAGACACACACGCACACACACCGGGGAGAAGCCCTACCTCTGCAACGCTTGCAGCTATGCCTGTAGTTCCCTGGGGAACCTGCGGAGGCACCAGCGCTCACACAGCCAGGAGTCCCGGCCCCGGCCGCAACGCACCCACACACTAAAGAGACGCAGCAGACGGAAACACACACACAGAGATAATGGTGAAGGTAAGGGCACACAGTCAGGCTGGTACACACACACAGAGATAATGGTGAAGGTAAGGGCACACAGTCAGGCTGGTACACACACACACAGATAATGGTGAAGTTAAGGGCACACAGTCAGGCTGGTACACACACAGAGAGATATTGTGAAGATAAGGCACACAGTCAGGCTGGTACACACACACACACACACACACAGATAATGGTGAAGGTAAGGGCACACAGTCAGGCTGGTACACACACAGAGATAATGGTGAAGGTAAGGGCACACAGTCAGACTGGTACACACACAGAGAGAAAATGGTGAAGGTAAGGGCACACAGTCAGGCTGGTACACACACAGAGATAATGGTGAAGGTAAGGGCACACAGTCAGGCTGGTACACACACACAGAGAGAAAATGGTGAAGGTAAGGGCACACAGTCAGGCTGGTACACACACACACAGAGATAATGGTGAAGGTAAGGGCACACAGTCAGGCTGGTAAACACACACACAGAGATAATGTTGAAGGTAAGGGCACACAGTCAGGCTGGTACACACACACAGAGATAATGGTGAAGGTGAAGGGCACACAGTCAGGCTGGTACACACACACACAGAGATAATGGTGAAGGTAAGGGCACACAGTCAGGCTGGTACACACACACACAGATATAATAGATAATGTTGAAGGTAAGGGCACACAGTCAGGCTGGTACACACACACAGAGATAATGGTGAAGGTAAGGGCACACAGTCAGGCTGGTACACACACACAGATGATAATGGTGAAGGTAAGGCACACAGTCAGGTGGTACACACCACAAGATAATGTTGAAGGTAAGGGCACACAGTCAGGCTGGTACACACACACACACAGATAATGGTGAAGGTAAGGGCACACAGTCAGGCTGGTACACACACACAGAGATAATGGTGAAGGTAAGGGCACACAGTCAGACTGGTACACACACACGAGAGATAATGGTGAAGATAAGGGCACACAGTCAGGCTGGTAACAAACACACACAGATAATGGTGAAGGTAAGGGCACACAGTCAGGCTGGTACACACACACAGAGATAATGGGGAAGGTAAGGGCACACAGTCAGCTGGTTACACACACACAGAGATAATGGTGAAGGTAAGGGCACACAGTCAGGCTGGTACACCACACACAGAGATAATGGTGAAGTAAGGGCACACAGTCAGGCTGGTACACACACACACAGAGATAATGGTGAAGGTAAGGGCACACAGTCAGGCTGGTACACACACAGAGAGATAATGGTGAAGGTAAGGGCACACAGTCAGGCGGTACACACACAGAGGATAATGGTTAAGGTTAAGGGCACACAGTCAGGCCTGGTACACAACACCCAGAGAGATATGGTGAAAGTAAGGTCACACAGTCAGGCTGGTAAACCACACAGATAATGGTGAAGATAAGGGCAACCCATTCAGGCTGGTACACATCACACCAGAGATAATGGTGAAGGGTAAGGGCACACAGTCAGTCTGGTTACACACACAACGCACACACACAGATACGGGGAGGTAAGGGCACACGTCAGGCTGGTCACACACAGGTTAATGGTGAAGATAAGGGACACAGTCAGGCAGGTACACACACACAGAGATAATGGTGAAGGCAGGGCACACCATCAGGCTTGTACACACACACAGGCAGATAATGGTGAAGGTAAGGGCACCGGTCAGTCTGTTACACACACAATAGAGATAATGGTGAAGGTAAGGGCACACAGTCAGGCTGGTACACACACAGAGATAATGGTGAAGGTAGGGTCACACAGTCAGGCTGGTACACACACACAGAGTATGGTGAAGGTAAGGGCACACAGCGGCTGGTACACACACCACAGAGAATAATGGTGAAGGTAAGGGCACACAGTCAGGCTGGTACACACACAAGAGATAATGGTGAAGGTAAGGGCACACAGTCAGGCTGGTACACACACACAGATATAATGGTGAATGGTAAGGGCACACAGTCGGCTGGTACATACACACGAGATAATGGTGAAGGTAAGGGCACACAGTCAGGCTGGTAACACACATACATAGATAATGTGAAGGTAAGGGCACACAGTCAGGCTGGTACACACACACGATAATGGGTGAAGATAAGGGCACACAGTCAGGCTGGTACACCACACAGAGATAATGGTGAAGGTAAGGGCACACAGTCAGCTGGTACACACACAAGAGATAATGGTGAAGGTAGGGCACACCAGTCAGGCTGGTACACACACACCAGAGATAATGGTGAAGGTAAGGGCACACAGTCAGGCTGGTACACACACACACAGATAATGGTGAAGTAAGGGCACACAGTCAGGCTGGTACACACACACAGAGATATGGTGAAGGTAAGGGCACACAGTCAGGCTGGTTACACACACAGAGATAATGGTGAAGGTAAGGGCACACAGTCAGGCTGGTACACACACACAGAGATAATGGTGAGGTAAGGGCACACAGTCAGGCTGGTACACACACACACAGAGTAATTGTGAAGGTAAGGGACACAGTCAGGCTGGTACACACACACAGAGATAATGGTGAAGGTAAGGGCCACACAGTCAGGCTGGTACACACACAGAGAGCATAATGTGAAGGTAAGGGCACACGTCAGGCTGGTACACACACAGAGAGATAATGGTGAAGGTAAGGGGCACACAGTTCAGGCGGCCACACACAGATACAGGCTGGTTAGTACACACACACAGAGATCATGGTGAAGGTAAGGGCACACAGTCAAGGCTGGTACACACACACAGAGATAATGGTGAAGGAAGGGCACACAGTCAGGCTGGTACACACACACAGAGATAATGGTGAAGTAAGGGCACACAGTCAGGCTGGTACACACACAGAGAGATAATGTGAAGGTAAGGGCACACAGTCAGGCTGGTACACACACACAGAGATAATGGTGAAGGTAAGGGCACACAGTCAGGCTGGTACACACACACAGAGATAATGGTGAAGGTAAGGGCACACAGTCAGGCTGGTACACACACAAGAGATAATGGTGAAGGTAAGGGCACACAGTCAGGCTGGTACACACACACAGAGATAATGGTGAAGGTAAGGGCACACAGTCAGGCTGGTACATATACACAGAGATAATGGTGAAGGTAAGGGCTCACAGTCAGGCTGGTACACACACACACAGAGATAATGGTGAAGGTAAGGGCACACAGTCAGGCTGGTACACACACACAGAGATAATGGTGAAGGTAAGGGCACACAGTCAGGCTGGTACACACACACAGAGATAATGGTGAAGGTAAGGGCACACAGTCAGGCTGGTACACACACACAGAGATAATGGTGAAGGTAAGGGCACACAGTCAGGCTGGTACACACACAGAGAGATAATGGTGAAGGTAAGGGCACACAGTCAGGCTGGTACACACACACAGAGATAGTGGTGAAGGTAAGGCACACAGTCAGGCTGGTACACACACACACACACACACACACAGAGATAATGGTGAAGGTAAGGGCACACATTCAGGCTGGTAACACACACAGAGAGATAATGGTGAAGGTAAGGGCACACAGTCAGGCTGGTACAACACACACAGGATAATGGTGAAGGTAAGGGCACACAGTCAGGCTGGTACACACACATAGAGATAATGGTGAAGGTAAGGGCACACAGTCAGGTGGTACACCACACAAGAGATAATGTGAAGGTAAGGGCACACAGTCAGGCTGGTACACACACAGAGATAATGGTGAAAGTAAGGCACACAGTCAGGCTGGTACACACACACACACGATAATGGGTGAAGGTAGGGCACACAGTCAGGCTGGTACACACACACACAGAGATAATGTTGAAGGTAAGGGCACACAAGTCAGCTGGTACACACACACACAGAGATAATGGTGAAGGTAAGGGCACACAGTCAGGCTGGTACACACACACAGATAATGGTGAAGATAAGGGCACACAGTCAGGCTGGTACACACACACAGAGATAATGGTGAAGGTAAGGGCACACAGTCAGGCTGGTACACATGTACACACAAGATATGGTTCCAGAAGAGGATGTGTCTTTCAAACGTAATGGTGAGCGTGTAGCCAGAGTGAAAGAGAAGGTGAGTTAAACGTCCGAAATCGGAGTTGGAAAAAGAGGAAATTTAGCTTGTTTGAAGTGGCTGGTAACTGAACTAAAGGTCATTTGTGTGAAGGTACGGTCTTCTCCAGATGCGTGGGTACAAGACACAAGACATGGTGTAAGTGAGGGACGCAGTCTGATTTCCTCCACGACCAGATATGGAAGGGTAAGGCCTCTCAGGCTCCACACCCATCACTCCCCGGTAAGGTAACCCATCCGCCCCCGCTCCCTGACCTCTCTACGCCTATGCTGGGTAGTTGCCCGTGGCTGTCAACCTGGAGGGAGAAGGAGAGGGTAAGGGTAGGAGAGTAGGCGGTAGGGCAGATGTACAATTCGAGTATCTCCTAATCTAAGGAACCAGGCTCCTCCACACCACAAAATTTACAGAGACACATCCTGGTGACACTACCAAACAACTCCGGCAGGGGGCCAAGTAAGCTGTACCGCTGCCCTATGCCCCTTCCCATCGGCTTACCCACAAAATATGGTCGACACGCAAGCACACACAGTGGGGGAAACCACCACCGCTAGCCCGCCAGTGCACTAGCCTCGGCCACCGGACACAAGCTGTAACACCCACCATCGCATTCACAAAGGGAAGAGAAGGGACCCACCAGCTGTGCCCAGTGCTCGTACCCTGCGGGAACTGGCCAACCTGAGGCCCACAGAGGATCACTCTGGAGCAAGCCGTTCCACTCTCTGTGTGGCTACAGCGTACACCAAGCATAACCTGAGAGTAGACACATCGCTGAGACACACGGGGGAAAGCCTACGGTATGCTGAGTGTGACTACACCACGGTACACGACAACTACAAAAGCCACCAGTGAAGGTACAGGACACACCAGCAGCTGGGACAACACACACACCAGGACATACATGCGTCAGCAACACACACCACTGAGACACACACACAGACACATGAGGAAAGCACACACGCAGCTGGACACACACACACACAACCACTGTGAGGTAAGGCACACACACCCTGGTACACACACACACACACATGTGAGGTACACACACACAACACACACACCACAGTATGAAACAGCACACACACGCACTGTAGACACACACACACCAGTAGTGAAGGACACCCACACTACCACACACACAATAAGGTGAAGGAACACACAGCACGACACACCACAAGAGATAATGTGAATAACACACATCAGGCTGGTACACACACACACACAGAATGGTGAAGGTAAGGCCACAGTCAGGCTGGTACACAACACACACAGATAATGGTGAAAGGGAAGGCACACAGTCAGGCTGTACACACACACACAGAGATAATGGTGAAGTAAGGGCACACAGTCAGGCTGGTACAAACACAGAGATAATGGTGAAGGTAAGGGTCACAGTCAGGCTGGTACACACACACACAGAGATAATTGTGAAGGTAAGGGCACACAGTCAGGCTGGTACACACACACACAGATAATGGTGAAGGTAAGGGCACACAGTCAGGCTGGTACACCACACATAGAGATAATGGTGAAGGTAAGGGGCACACAGTCAGGTGGTACACACCACACAAGATATGGTGAAGTAAGGGCACACAGTCAGGCTGGTACATATACACAGAAGATAAGGTGAAGGTAAGGGCTCACAGTCAGGCTGGTAACACACCCCACCCCAGAATAATTGTGAAGGTAAGGGCCACAGTCAGGTGGTAACACACACACAGAGATAATGGTGAAGGGGAAGGGACACAGTCAGGCTGGTACACACACACACAGAGATAATGGTGAAGGTAAGGGCACACAGTCAGGCTGGTACACACACACAGAGATAATGGTGAAGGTAAGGGCACACAGTCAGGCTGGTACACACACAGAGAGATAATGGTGAAGGTAAGGGCACACAGTCAGGCTGGTACACACACAGAGATAATGGTGAAGGTCAGGGCACACAGTCAGGCTGGTACACACACACAGAGATAATGGTGAAGGTAAGGGCACACAGTCAGGCTGGTACACATGTACACACACAATATGTTCCAGAATAGAGGATGTTGTCTTTCAAACGTTCTAGCGTGTAGCTCAGAGTGAAAGGAGAAGTGTTGGTTAACTTCCTGAAACTGGAGTTGAAAAAGAGGAAGAAGCTCTGTTTGGTTGGCTGGTTACTGAACTAAAGGTCATTTGTCTGTGTGTACTGTTCTCTTCTCCAGATGCCGTGGTGTCAGACCTGACAGTGTGTGTGAGGGAGGATTCTGATTTCCTCCAGACCCTAGGGGGGGTAGCCTCTTCCTCCTCCCCCCTCCTCCCCTGTCTCCCCCCATCCGCCCCCCTCCCTGACCTCCTCTTCCCCCTCTGCTGTCGTTCCTGTGGCCTCACCCTGGAGGGAGAAGGAGAGGGGGAGGGAGGAGAGGAGGGCGGAGGGCAGATGTGTAGTCAATGTTCTGAGTTTCTCCTCTCTAAGGAACCAGGCTCCTCCAGCCCCACTGACAGAGACACACCTGGTGACACTGACTCAAACACACTCCGGCCGGGGGCCAGTAAGCTGTACCGCTGCCCTCTCTGCCCCTTCCTCTCCCTCTACCCCAACCACCTGGCTCGACACGCCCACACCCACAGTGGGGAGAAACCCCACCGCTGCCCCCAGTGCCCCTACGCCTCGGCCCACCTGGACAACCTGAAACGCCACCTCCGCATTCACACAGGGGAGAAGCCCTACCGCTGTGCCCAGTGCTCGTACGCCTGCGGGAACCTGGCCAACCTGAGGCGCCACGAGAGGATTCACTCTGGAGCCAAGCCGTTCCACTGCTCTGTGTGCGGCTACAGCTGTAACCAGAGCATGAACCTGAAGAGACACATGCTGAGACACACGGGGGAGAAGCCTTACGGCTGTGCTGAGTGTGATTACACCACGGGACACTGGGACAACTACAAACGCCACCAGAGGAAACACGGACACAACACAGACAGCTGGGACAAACACACACACCAGGACACTACAGCAGTCAGCAACACACACCACTGAGAAACACACACACCACCACTGAGACACACACACACCACAGAGACACACACACACACACCACTGAGACACACACACACACACACACACACCACTGAGACACCCACTGAGACACACACACACCCACACACACACACACCACTGAGACACACACACACACCACTGAGACACCCACTGAGACACACACACACCCACACACACACACACCACTGAGACACACACACACACACACACACCACTGAGACACACACACACACACACACACACACACCACTGAGACACACACACACACCACTGAGACACACACACAACCACAACACACCATGAGACACCACACACACCACACACACACCACACCACTGAGACACACACACACACACACACCACACACTGAGACACACACACACACACACACACACACCACACCACTAACACACACACACACACACCACTGAGACACACACACCCACTAGACACACACAACCACACCACCACCCACACCACTGAGACACACCACGAGACCACACACACACACACACCACTGAGACACCACACACACACACACCACTGAGACACACACACACACACCACTGAGACACACACACACACCAGAGACACACACACGACCACAGACCAACACTGAATTCAAGAAATAGGGAACCATAGCCAGGGAGAGATGTAGCCAGGGGGGAGGGTGTGTGTCAGTGTGTGTGTGTGTTACAATGGTGACCCCCGACCCCTGTCTCTGCTCTCAGGCCTCAGAGGGGCAGGACTTATCTCAGGTGGCTTTAGAGACGGTGCTACATTAGCTGTTTTACTGAGTCTGAACACTGCACTGACCTTCACCTAGGGCATTAAAGTGTGTGTGTGCGTCTGTGTCTGTGTGTGATTCAAGATTAATCCTGTTTTTGAATGGTTACATGTTGTTTTTAATAAAGTAGATGCATTGTTTGACAATTATGTTTTGATTGAGATTTAGCCATTTTCAAATTGTGTATTCATAATGTTTTTGTCAACTGCAATGAACCTAATTGTGAAACAGATAGTTTATTTTTGCAACAGATGATGATGATATATTTGAGTTATTTTGATGATGATTTGAACAATGTTTCTCAGAAAATAGTATTGCGTTGGCAGACATCACATCATATTCTCATTGGAGAAGATGCCTAAACAGGGGTGTAATCATTAGTGCACACTGTAGCAAACAGTTGCAAAATGTTTTGAAACAGAAAACGAGAGTTTCTGTTGGGCAAGTTCAGGTAGCTCCCTCTCTGTTTTGTTCCCTTTGCTTCCATTTGGCTCTTCGTAAATACACCCCTGCTGATGGCAAGGCTACTCAGAGAATAGACAGGACCCCTGCTGATGGAAAGGCTGCTCAGAGAATAGACAGGACCCCTGCTGATGGCAAGGCTACTCAGAGAATAGACAGGACCCCTGCTGATGGAAAGGCTACTCAGAGAATAAACAGGACCCCTGCTGATGGAAAGGCTACTCAGAGAATAGACAGGACCCCTGCTGATGGCAAGGCTACTCAGAGAATAGACAGGACCCCTGCTGATGGCAAGGCTACTCAGAGAATAGACAGGACCCCTGCTGATGGAAAGGCTACTCAGAGAATAGACAGGACCCCTGCTGATGGCAAGGCTACTCAGAGAATAGACAGGACCCCTGCTGATGGAAAGGCTACTCAGAGAATAGACAGGACCCCTGCTGATGGAAAGGCTGCTCAGAGAATAGACAGGACCCCTGCTGATGGAAAGGCTACTCAGAGAATAGACAGGACCCCTGCTGATGGCAAGGCTACTCAGAGAATAGACAGGACCACAGTAACTGTCTGTCTGCACACTATGCCTTCTACATCTCTCTAATACTGAAATAAAGTATTTGACTGACGTTTTTCCCTTTGTGGGTTTGTGCTCGTGATAGCAGTGGTGATGGTAGTCCATCTTTTAAGGTGTCTTTCTGTCTAGTGAGATGAAAATATATTATACATATACAGTACCAGTCAGAAGTTTTAGAACACCTACTCATTCAAGGGTTTCTCTTTATTTTGACTATTTTCTACATTGTAGAATAATAGTGAAGACATAACTATGAAATAACACATGGAATCATGTAGCAACCAAAAAAGTGTTAAACAAATCAAAATATAATTTACATTTGAGATTCTTCAAAGTAGCCACCCTTTGCCTTGATGACAGCTTTGCACATTCTTGGCATTCTCTCGAACAGCTTCATGAGGTAGTCACTTGGAATGCATTTAAATTAAAAGGCGTGCCTTCTTAAAAGTTAATTGTGGAATGACTTTCCTTAATGCGTTTGAGCCAATCAATTGTGTTGTGACAAGGTAGGGGGGATATACAGAAGATAGCCCTATTTGGTAAAAGACTGTCCATATTATGGCAAGAACAGCTCAAATAAGCAAAGAGAAACGGTAGTCCGTCATTACTTTAAGACATGAAGTTCAGTCATTCTGGAAAATGTCAAGAACTTTGAAAGTTTCTTCGAGTGCAGTCGCAAAAACCATATAGCGCTATGATGAAACTGGCTCTCATGAGGACCGCCACAGGAAAGGAAGACCCAGAGTTACCTCTGCTGCAGAAGATAAGTTCATTAGAATTAACTGCACCTTAGATTGCAACCCAAATAAATGCTTCACAGAGTTCAAGTAACAGACACATCTCAACATCAACTGTTCAAAGGGGACTGTGTGAATCAGGCCTTAATGGTCGAATTGCTGCAAAGAAACCACTACTAAAGGACACCAAAAAGAAGAAGAGACCTGCTTGGGCCAAGAAACACGAGCAATGGACATTAGACCGGTGGAAATCTGTCCTTTGGTCTGATGAGTCCAAATGTGACATTTTTGGTTCCAACCGCCGTGTCTTTGTGAGACGCAGAGTGGGTGAATGGATGATCTCTGCATGTGTGGTTCCCACCGTGAAGCATGGAGGATGAGGTGTGATGGTGTGGGGGTGTTTTGCTGGTGACACTGTCTGTGATTTATTTAGAATTCAAGGCACACTTAACCAGCATGGCTACCACAGCATTCTGCAGCGATACACCATCCCATCTGGTTTGCGCTTAGTGTGACTATAATTTGTTTTTCAACAGGACAATGACCCAACACACCTCCAGGCTGTGTAAGGGCTATTTTACCAAGAAGGAGAGTGATGGAGTGCTGCATCAGATGATTTGAGATGGTTTGGTTTGAGTCGGACGGCAGAGTGAAGGAAAAGCAGCCAACAAGTGCTCAGCATATGTGGGAACTCCTTCAAGACTGTTGGAAAAGCATTCCAGGTGAAGCTGGTTGAGAGAATGCCAAGAGTGTGCAAAGCTGTCATCAAGGCAAAGGGGGGCTATTTGAAGAATCTCAAATATAAAATATATTTTGATTTGTTTAACACTTTTTTGGTTACTACATGATTCCATATTTGTTATTTCGTAGTTTTGATGTCTTCACTATTATTCTACAATATAGAAAATAGTAAAAATATAGAAAAACCCTTGAATTAGTAGGTGTTCTAAAACATTTGACCCTTGCGTGTGTATATATATATATATATATATATATATATATATATATATATAAATATGTCTAGTTAAATTATTTACATTTACATTTTACATTTTAGTCATTTAGCAGACGCTCTTATCCAGAGCGACTTACAGGCATATTATACAGTACATTCGGAAAGTATTCAGACCCCTTGACTTTTTCCACATTTTGTTACGTTACAGACATATTCTAAAATTGTTTAAATTGTTTTTTTCCCCCCGATCAATCTACACACAATACACCATAATGACAAAGCAAAAACTTGTTTTTAGAATTTTAGCAAAGAAAAACAGAAATATCACATTTACATAAGTATTCAGACCCTTTACTCAATACTTTGTTGAGGCACCTTTGGCAGCGATTACAGCCTCGAGTCTTCCTGGGTATGACGCTACAAGCTTGGCACACCTGTATTTGGGGAGTTTCTCCCATTCTTCTCTGCAGATCCTCTCAAGCTCTGTCAGGTTGGATGGGGAGCGTTGCTGCACAACTATTTCAGTTCTCTCCAGAGATGTTTGATCGGGTTCAAGTCCGGGCTCTGGCTGAGCCACTCAAGGACATTCAGACATGTTAGAAGCCACTCCTGCGTTGTCTTGGCTGTGTGCTTAGGGTCGTTGTCCTGTTGGAAGGTGAACCTTCACCCCAGTCTGAGGTCCTGAGCGCTCTGGAGCAGGTTTTCATCAAGGATCTCTCTGTACTTTGCTCCATTCATCTCGATCCCTGCCGCTGAAAAACATTTCCACCACCATGCTTAACCGTAAGGATGGTGCCAGGTTTCCTCAAGACGTGATGCTTGGTATTTAGGCAAAAGAGTTCAATCTTTGGTTTCATCAGACTAGAGAATCTTGTTTCTTATGGTCTGAGAGTCCTTTCGGTGCATTTTGGCAAACTCATAGCGAGCTGTCATATGCATTTTACTGAGGAGTGACTTCCGTCTGGCCACTCTACCATGAAGGCCTACTTGGTGGAGTGCTGCAGAGATGGTTGTCCTTCTGGAAGGTTCTCCCATCTCAACAGAGGAACTCTAGAGCTCTGTCAAAATGACCATCAGGGTTCTTGGTCACCTCCCTGACCAAGGCCCTTCTCCCCCGGGCGGCCAGTTCTAGGAACAGTCTTGGTGGTTCCAAGACCTTCAATGCTGCAGACATTTTTTGGTACCCTTCCCCAGATCTGTGCCTCGACACAATCCTGTCTCGGAGCTCTACGGACAATTCCTTCGACC